CATGCCACATGAACAGCTAGAGGGCTTTTTTTTTCTTAACTGTGGCACAACCAAGAACTGAACTCCAGCAAATCTGAAGGGTTACATCGTGCACTGTCACCTGGTAGTCACTCAGCCACCTGCGTCATTGATTAATCCAACAAATATGTAGCGCATGCCGATCCCCTCTGCCATTGTCAAAGTGATTAACTGCACCTGTTTGTGTACACCCTGCAACATCTTTTATCCGGAGCCTGTTTTATAATTATAGGAACATGTGTTGCTCGTGTAGTTAATCTGTTGCAATAATGGGAGGTGGAGATCACCAATTATGAGGATTTAGGCTGCTGCAAGTAAATGTGACTTCACCTCTGAGGTCCCTCCTCAGACCGTCCCCCGCCACAACAGTGGTTCATTCTGCTGGCAAAAGTCTTAGGCAACACAGGTTTGCATGGTGTGTGTGTGTGTGATGGATAAAATGACACACTGGGCATCATCTGAAATCCAGTCCGACCTGATCCTCAGACGAGACGGCAGAGAGGAGGAGGAAGAGGTGATGGTGTGCAACACGTCAGTCAGCATTGCAGAGTGATGAGGTGGTGATTTAAGGCGTGGCTACACTGAGCCCTCACATGACTTCTTAATTATTCAAGGATATACTTTGGCAAATGAATAAATAAACAAAAGTAAGCAAGGGAGCTATTTAAAGCTGTTGTTCTGCTGTTTTGGGGGTATTGTCGTCAGATAAATGGCCAGTTTGTGTTTCCATAATGGAAATATATGTTTGAAGCAGGGTCGTCATGCTGCCAGAAATTTAAACTTTGTTATAATACTAATAAATTCAAATGATTTTGATGGCTGTTTCAATGCCATTACTTTTACTGGCACTGCTCACACTATCTGAACTACACAAATACATTGGAAATGATTTGGCTTACTTTACAATACTAGAACTCCTTAAAATACCAAAGATTGTATTGTTTTAAAAAGCTGTTGTGTTGGAAAGTTTCAAACTTGGACAACAAAGTTTATTTTTGATTTATGATTATGATTTTGTGAAGTTTAAGGATTAGAAGGGGGAACCATGAAGTTCCTCAAAAGTGGCGGCTCCTCTCGAGCTCTCGGGTGTAACCGAAACCAGCGTGACAGGGTGTGTGGCTGTTTGCGTTCAAAAGTGTGGGTGTGTCTCCCCCCCCAAACATATTGTGATTGAAATGGGGCTGTCCCACAGGATGTTGAGGCTTTCAGTACAGCCAAAATGACCCGTGCATGTGATCATTTCTCCAATTATATGACGTTATGAGGATTAGATTGTTACAATGCTTTTGTACACCAAAGTGCTTCAGTCAGTGTACGTCCATGTATGAGTCAGGCTTTTAGATCAGTCGAAAAAAACATTCCTACTGGCTGAAAGAAACTTGAGGGAAACATTTACGTCAGCCTTCCATTGACGTGAGAAATGACTCGTTATGTAACTCCATGTGAGACTCTTAAATTTGTGCTGATGTCAGATTATTTGATTTCCCTCCATTTTTCTTCTTAAAAATAAAAAAAGTCTGCTTGCAAGTTTGTATCTGTAATTCTGAATATTATCAAAAGACAGATACAGTGTTATACGCATGGGGTGGAGCAAGATTTTTGTAAATGTCCAGACTTGTGTAATCCGTTTACGTCAGATAAGTTTCTGAATGAACGAGGCTAAAATGATCAGAAGTTAAATAGGAAAAGTTCACAGCGGGATAACAGTGCGGTGAAAAACTTAAACACTTTAATAAAAGCTCATCCCGGTTCTTGTTACTAGCCTGATGTTGTTGCATGTTTTGTCCAATAAAGGCACGTCTCAGTTAAAGGGCCAGTACGCATTTAGTGCTCAAATCAAAGCCTGACCGATTAATCGATCAGCCGATATTAGCATCAACCATTGACTATCTATATCTGCTCATTTCATCGCAGATATACACTCGGATATCTGGATTTATTTACCAATAAAATAGCATTTCATTTGAGTATTATTGACACTATAGCGCCGTTATATACACTATATATTACACTATAGCAGTTCTCTTTCTGGCTGTAACCAGAAGAGTTTACCCTCCACAGTGTTGATGCACATATATGCGCAGTTACCATCTTTTCCACAAGTTTTTGATTCCTGCATTTGAGCAATCGACACAATAAATATGTGTATATCTAAATCTATATCTCTACAGATCTGACATAGATCTAAGGAGCTTTTTTTTTTAATTCTTCAGTTAATCAGATATAGTGAAATCATTCATCCAATGTTTTTCTTTGCACTTTATTATCTCAGAATCAAGATTGTCATGGACCATTTACACCATATTATAAACTGTTTATCATCAGTCTGTGCTGTAGTGCAGTATAACTTATTCCATGCCTGTATACAGCTTTATATGGCTGCACATTTGTTTTAACGCCAGTCTCTATTGTTTTTTTTCTTTGTGCAAGACTTTAAATAATAAAGGTGATGCATGATGTCATTCCTCCAATACCAACGCTCACATTGTTATCTTACTACTGCCATTTGTTATCGTTGTTGGTGTGGATTGAGTTGACTTTAAAGTCTGTTTGTTATGCTGCTGTAAGCAGGGGAGCGTGCCTATCTTCCCACATTTCCTTTTTCATATATTTGTATCAGTTAGCGTAACTTACCCTTACCCTACCCTGTGGGAACATAGGGCCTAATTTTGAGAAAATTCTTCGAAATTTGGGAACATAGAGCTGACCCCGTAAGCAGTCCCCAGTAAAAGAAAAAAAATCACATAACTGAGCAGTACGATGCAACAGAACGAACCTAATGTTGATTTGATTTTAGCCCCCTTTAAACTAAAAAATGCAGTCTTGTAGAGAAAACAGATTAAAGCACGTAAACACACAGACATTTAGAGGCGCTTCACAAGCCTCTTTAACTGGTTAACACTGAACAAACTAAATGCATGACACAAGAAGAAAGGGGGATATCTAAGTCTTGTATGTATGTCTTTAGAGAACGGCTCCAGGAGGGCTAAGCCATGTCATAACTGGAGCGACAGGTTTCTCCAGAGTGAAACTATAGTATCTCTACGTCACAGAGTCAACACACAGCATTGAATATGTCGTCTTTTATTTATAAATTTTAAACTAAAGCAGATTGTGTCAGCACTCCTGGGTATCCCATGAGAATTTAAAATGTCCTGAAGTAGCTTTTATGTAACTTGCAGCTCCTGACTGGCAGGTGCCTTTACTGCTCTGACTGACTGATTTATTTAGCTTGGAGTGTGTCCAAGGTCCAACCCACTTTATCATAAAACAGGGCCTCTAATTAACTTGCAGGTATCATTTAAGTTCAATGTTCTTTATCTGAGCAACGTTAATAAATGAACTTTGCACATCAGTTTCTTAAAAGAACACGATCTTTGTCATCTCAGCTGACGTTAGGCGGAGGATTTAACTTCAGCGTGATCTCATAAATGTCAGTCTCTCAAAACATTGAACTTTGTATTTCCAGGATAGAACATTGCCTAAGCAGCCCCTTGGTTAACTTTATTACATTTTCCTTACATGTATATGATATTTTGAATCAAGAATGTTGATATCTGCATAATAACACAGCTAATGTTGAAATGTGCTCATGTTGCAAATCATGAGGGACACATGAAGCCCAGATCTTCTTTGTGATAGAAGCAGCAGAGGCCAAGACATCCTGAAACATATTTCTCTATTTGATATTGTCGCTGTATAATTTTAAAAATCCATTTGGTTGCCTCAGATTCATCACTACATGCTGCTCGGGGGGGTTTTCCTCGTTTGCTTGCTGTGCAAAAAAAAAAAAAAACCTCATGTGACCTCACTCTCCAAACTGGTTTGGAAAGTCCTGAAAAGCATCCTTTGTTAACCTGTTATCTGTAAGACCAGCTTATGTCAACATACCCTCGTCTATATAGCGACCTCGGTGTTCCCGTCGTTTAAACTAATGGTTTAAGTTTACTGCTTCTAAACAGGGTAATATAATCTGAAGTCTGCGCTCGTTTGTCTCTGTCTGGAAACTAATCACAGCTGTAAAGTTAAAAATGGTTCATGCCGTGTTTACACAGTTCAAAATCCCTCATTCATTCATCCATTTTTATGCAAGGAAAGCAATCTGGCACAGGACAAATAACAAAAAACAAACAAACTGTGACATCACAAGGATCTGGAATAAGAGAATTGTATCTGCAAGAATTGGTGAATAATAATAATAAAAAGTAATGGGTGTAAAAATGGGAACACGTATAAGGAGATCAGGGATTCTTCTACCAGGACTTAAATGTGTGTCATGTCGTTTGGGCCATGCAATTTTCATCAGTACCTCATAATCATGTGCAGTACTGCGGCACTTTAATACTATGGCACTTTACCTCCTGTAGCGGGCACTTGAACCTCTCAGGACATCGTACAGCCACTTTTTATGCTTCTTTATTTGTGTCTCTGTCAACTAATGTACAGTTTATGTTGTTTGGTCATTACTAGTTGTTTGGTTTTTATGTACATTTGTATTTGTGTGTACCAACAACCTGCCAAGGGACTACAGATGGAAATTAGCCTTTTGCTACAATCTCGCATATTTACATGAAGGTGTTCATTAATGTGCACTATTTAAAATAAATAAATGTTTAAAAAAAGTCAAACAGTAATATTATCTCTGAGATTAATAGCATATTAACTCCATGTATAATACTGAATAAGTGAACACTGACTCTCAGGTGAAACTGTTTCAGTAACGATTGAATCACAAACATCCAGCTGCTGTGACCTTGACTAAAACACTTCCCCCATGCAGAGGTCATTGTTGGTCACTCGTGTCTCACAACCATCGGACCCTTTTTTTTTTTTTGCCACAGAAACGGTCTCAGTTGTCAACAAAGACCTTTTCTATCTATCTATGTATCTGCCTACATTTGAACTTCCTAATTAAAGGGTTGTTTAAAAGCTCTAAACACTAATCCTATTGTTTTTCTCCTCTTCTCTCTTAATGTTTCCAGGTCAAGCCCTGCAGTGCTACAATTGCAAACTTGGCATCTTCAACCTGTGCATCACCACTAAGAAGACGTGTGACAGCGGAGACCACTGCTTCAGTGGTAAAGGGACGGCAGGTAAGGAGCTCAGAAGTTAAAAATCTAACTGGACCACATTCTCCTGAGCTAACGTTGTCATCGCTGTCATAAAACGACACCAGTTACATTCTCTAAATACATAGTGTAACGGAAACAAACCGGGACATTTGGCAGTTGTCAAAAGGATTTTTTAAATTCTGTCACAACAACAGTGCCAATAAAATAAATTAACTAGTTATTTGAGGTATTGATTTCCCATCCAGGAGCACGTTCACCTCAGGGGAAATTCCTGCAGATTGCGAGGTGTTGAGAACGATTGTTGAGAGTTCAACTTATTAACTACTGAAGTGAAATAGTAAGCTGCCTATTAACCCAAGTCAAGGACATATTAAAGGAACCTTACTGTATTTAGTAAGGCATAATGCGCTAATCCCCCCCCCCCCCCAAAGAAAACAAAAGACGATCAATTCTACCGAAAATGTTCATATATGATTGTAGTCCCCCTGAATCTATGATAATAGTTTGCTCAAACATCAGAAGTTATGATAGTTGGCTGGAATATAACCTGGTCAAACAGTTAGCTAATCAGTTAGTTCGTGTTTTTTATATATATATTTTTTTGATTAAAGCTGAAGATAAGATTGTTAGCTAATAGTGATGAAATTAGTGATTAGCTAAAGATAAGTAGCCTACAGTAGTTTGGCTGATAAAAGTGACACTACAAGATTAAAAGTTAGCTTAAAAGTTTACCTAAATGTAATGAAAGGGCTGTTAAAGTAGGCTATGGGAAAAAAAGGAACAGTTAGCTTAAAAACAGCTGTTGCTAAATGTTATCAAAGCTAAAAAGGAGAAGGTAATAAACCAACTAAATGGTAATAAGCTAACAAATAAGCAGTTGTAAAAGCTGAACGCAATTTAGGTTGGCTGAAAGTAACTATTTATCTTTATTTTTGAAAAGCCGATTATGATCGCAGATGTCCACAAAGCTGAGCTGAACAAGCTGGATCGATCCCTCGTTGAAATAGTTAGAAGGTTACTGAGCGGTCTTTTAAAAGAATAGATTTTAATATTACTATTTAAAGTAAATGTATGGTTACCTGTAATGTGAAAGCAATCTTTGCAAACAACCTGAAATATGTTAGAGCACTTGTATATCTCCACTCTATTAAAACTAGCAAAGATTTGGCTTTAATCTTATTATTAAAGGCTTTATGTGATTGGTTTTTTTTTGATCCAGCAGATGTCGCCCTTGAGCACCAGCATGAAAACAAAAACAACTCGCGCTGCATTGTTGTGTTAGCATGCTAATGCTAGCGATCTTTATTATGCTGGTATTTTCACACTGCATGTAAATTTACCTGAAATGAGCGTGATCTAGAAACACAGTTAAGCAGTGAGTACAGTATGTTATTCTTCTTTTCTCTAGTCCCTCAATTAAACAACTTTTATACACGAGGGGAGGAGTCAGCCGGCCATCCGGGCGATGTAAACAAACTGAAGATAGGACTCTGAAAACATCACAGACAGTGGGACTCGGGTGTTACACCCATTGTAGACAGTCATGACTCAGAGTTATTTTCAGAGGATATACTTGATTTCTATTATATTTAAGTGTGAAAAATCACATATTAAGCCTTTAAATACAATTTGAAAGGCCTGTATAAGGTGAAGTCGGGAACAGTTTCCTTTGATTGGTTGAGTGAAGCAATAGGCTAAGCGCCAATAGAGCGTGGTATACTGTGACCTTAGAAAAGCTGAGGTGCAACATCAGGCATAACATGGAGATCAAAATGTTTCAAGCCTTTTCTATTGTAGCTTGAAAGTTGGACAAACTGGAGTTACAAGGTCTTCAGCCAACAGCCAACAACAAAGCACTTTACGAGTAACTGAAGCCAAAATATTTCAGTCAACCACAAACAGCAATCAACACTGACAATGCTTGTTTTTGCTGTCTTTTCACAGCCGGCTTTCTGGATATCACCACGAAGGGCTGTCTAAAAGTGGCTGAGTGCAACAAGACCAAAGAGGTGAACTTCCCGAACTCTGACTCCAACTCCACCGTCTACAGCCTGACGAAGACGTGCTGCGACTCGGATCTGTGCAACGCCGCCCCAGGTCTGCCCGGGTCCACCGGGCTGAGCCTGACCCTCACCACCATCACTGCTCTGTATGTGGCCAACATCCTGGTTTGACAAAAAACGCAGCGCAGGATGACGGAGTGGAAACACACATAACACACACACACACACACACACACACACACACACACACACACACACACACACACACACACACACACACACACACACACACACACACATGGGTCTTGACTTTACTGTCTTTGAGGTGCATCGTTCTCTTTTTATTTAACACACGTGTACATCAGTTCAAACTTTTCCTTTCTTTTAAAACATATTTTAAGATTAATCAGTGAACCATCCCAATTCTAAATGGGAAAAAATTAAAAGTTATGATGATTAAAAGTGTCACTAGCTAGATCATGTGCGTGAACCTGAATTAGTTTCATTACAGCTTGAGCAGTCACTTTAAAAATGGGCTTACAGTATATTTGTTTGAAGATTTGTTAAATATGACACTCCATTACAGTTAGCTTAAATTAGCATATCTACTGGAAAGCGCTAGCCTGGCTCTGACCGATGAAAACATTATTCTCCTAGCTAATGAACTGGCTCTGAATGTGGCAGACCGCATATTGGATCGCTGTTTTTCTTGTATTTATAATGTTTAAGATGCACACAAAAAAGTAGTATGGATTGTATCTAACTCCATGCAACAAAGAGCGGAATGAGCGCACTTTTCATACTTCTGAACTAGTCCCAGAATTCATTAACTTTGACCCACTGTAACACCATTTTTAAGAAACCTGAATGAGATGTCTATATCAGAGCTCTTATGAATATTTCTATTCCTAATCATTTCATTTATTGTGTTTTGCTTCCTGTTCACTTTGTAAATGTTAAGCTAACCTGTAAAACTGTCCCTTGGCTTTTGTCTGTTATTTTGTATTTTGTTCTTGTTTTCTGACACAAATATCCATCAACCTTTTTGTTTGATTTTTGATTATTGTGTCAAATCCACACTGCACATTAATACTTAACTGTCGGGTAAAAGCTATAGTTTATCTTGCTAGCTATGAATGTATATAAAACTGCAGGGAAGGGGATTTAAATTGACTATTTTGTTTGCAGATATTGAAATGATATCAACATGGCAGCAATTTAGAAAATGTCTGACCTTTATCAAACGGTTTCTAAAATCAAAACTTTGCGTTTCCTGAACAGAAATGTGTTTCTGGATTGTTTTTTGTGAAACTGGGAATGTAGACAATTTGAATAATGCAATAAAAATCCAAACTGGTGGGAATAACAGCGTGTGGTGTTACTGGTGTGATTTGGTTCCCTCATTCTGAATGTTTGTCACCTCAATGCAGTCCTGCAAGACTGACTGGTTCCTCAGGTTTCAGTGCTCCATGGTGGGGAGACATTACTGGTTTTGGCATGAAAGTGATGTCTGATTTGAAGTTACATCATAGATATCACATTGTTTTGATCAACCACTAGTTTGTTATTGTGTGTTTGTGATTTGGACACGTGTTTGCTTGTTCATGACAACAGTCTGGTGTCAAGTTATTTCTTCTTATGAGTTTGATCCTCATCTAGTTTGGGTTGAATGTCTTGTTCTTCGGCCCTCTCTCTATATCCGTTCATCAAGTTTGATCAAAGTCTAACCAGTAATTTGAATCCTGATGACAGATACAAACATACAAGAAGATGTTAATGGCGTATGTAGACTCCCTTATTGTAAAGCTCAGGGAACAGTCTGATAAACACATTTAGTTTCAAATTAAAATGCTAAATATTCTCTGATTTCAGCGTCCTAAGTAGGAACATTTGGTGCCCTTCCATTTTATACATAATAACTTACTAAATTATTCTTGTTTTTTATTGCTGTAATAAATGAAAAAGACTAGAAATTATCAAGTTTTGGTCTTAGAAATTATTTTAATGTGTATTTTTAAACTAACTGAAGTGTTTTTATGTGACTGAGCTCTTCTTTATTGTGTAAATGTTTAAACCTTGTGATTCAGTCACACATGAATGACTCATTCTGTGACTTGCCCGACAGGTGGGGTCAGTTTGTACAACACTTGGTTTTCAATTAAGCCCTACCCCATTTTCTACTCTCAGTGACACTTCCCCCGAGGTGAAGTTGAAGACAGAAGACTTGAACCCCCCGCCTTTTTCACACCCTCCCATCACCTGTCTCCAGGTATAAATCTCAGGCCCCACCAAGCAGGCTCCTCAGTCTCACTTCACACAGTATCCCATCACAGGATCTTTTTCTCTAAGCCGAAAAGCCAGGAACCAAACCGACACATCAAAATGGGAAAGATCCTAATTGGAGTCCTTGTCGCAGTTGCATCTTTTATGCTGGGTAAGAGAAACAACAAACTGGATGATTAATCAGGGATTTAAGATGTATAACTTTTAAAAGGCAAAAAATTGAGCACAAAAACGGGCAAACGATTGGCTTTTTATTAAGAATTGTTAAAATGTATTTAATATGAAAAGTACACTCTATAAAGTTTCCTCTTTTGAAGATGAATCTTGATTTTTTTTAAGGTGGGAAATGCTTAAATTGATTGAAAATTGAAATTGAAATTTGATATAAAGCTACATATCTCAGGTGAATTTCTTTTTTTGTGCTGACAAATCAAAATGATGCCATTGCCTTGATTTATTGAATAATGAGCATCCTTGATGATATCCAGCAAACCTGATGGTTTCAGATGTGTATGCCAAAATTCAGAGACATTTGATACTAAAATGTACAGATTTTGATTGTGCCCCCTAAAAATAACCTCAATATCATTGCTGCTCACCGGAAACTGTTATTTGCAATTTTCAGGGGGAATACTTGATTGGAACAAAGTAGTTGTGTTATATCTGACAGCAGAAAGATAGATTTCTCTCAATTTCATCAACACTCTGAGCCCCACAACAGACACTCCTTAACTTAGGGGTGATGGTAAAAAGTCTAAGACGCAGATATCTCAAGCTCTGACAGGTGAAACTTTAACTTTGAGCAACTTAAGACAGCTTGTTTATATCTCTACTGATATGCCTCCTCTAATACCGGATGGTTTGCTCTCGATTTGAGATTTCAAAACGTTAAAAGTAACAGGATGGCTTCTTGAAATGTTACTCAGAGTTTGATTGTGTAGCAATCTTGGGTGGGGCCTTACGACTTTTGTTTGGCTCAAGGTGTGGTGGCACTAAGACTCCCTAGAAGAATGTTCGCTGAGAATTTAAAGAGCTGACAATAGGTCATGATGAAAGGTCAACAAAAGACTTTTACAGATACATCAATGCCAATATAAAGAGTTCAGAAGTGTTTTCATCAAAAGTCATATTAGAGAGCTTTAAATAACTGGAGTAATGGAGCCTGCCAAACATTTGTCAAATACTATGAAAGTTCAATATACTCGACGTAAAGGTTTTTCTTATTTTATTTATTGATTTGATGTTCATTAGTCACAATGTACAAGAAAAAAAAACCTCATCAACAAAGATAGTTCAAAAACATTAACTCTGCAATGATATGAACATTTAGAACTCAGAACTCGGCAAGAGAATGGAGACAGAAAAAACATTTATTTTCTTAATCATTCATTTTAATGTTTGTGTTTCCTTTGTGTTTGTTTCAGTGGATTCCCTGAGCTGCAACCAATGCAGCTATGGTCTGCTTGGCTTCTGCGTTGGCTTATCACAGGAAACCTGTTCCACCAATACCAGCGTCTGCTTCACTGGGAAAGCATGTAAGTCATCTCCTCACACCTCTTCCATCCAAACATTACACCACAGCACAGGCATGATTGGATTCAAATCACTTCCTGTGACACAGAGACAAATCACACACAGAACAACAAGAACAGACCACGATCCAGTCCAGCACGATGTAGTTTACCTGTATGCTGCTTTACATTTATAATATGAAATATACAAAGTTACCTCCCCCTTCTAACACATTTTTTTTTTTTATCTCCTCAGCGTTCCCATCAGTTTCAAGCACTGTGGGCTTCAACACTCAGGGCTGCAGGGAGCCTGCTGGCTGCAACACAACAACCAACAACACCTTATCCTTCCTGCCTGTGACCTACGAGGTTAAACTTGACTGCTGCTCAACAGACAACTGCAACCCAACCCAGGTCAGCGGCGCTCCATCCACCAAGATGACCTTCACTGCCGCCATTGGTGCAGCTATGTTGGCCTCTGTGATGGGAAGCATGATGTAAAATACCTCAATACTGCCAGTCGCTCCAGAAACCGATTCGTACCAAAAACCACCAAACGAGGTTTAAATGAGATCAGAAGCACAATCCAAAGGAAACCCTTTTAGATCATATGGGTTAAGTTGTATCCTCATGTGCTGTGACACTCTTTATTTTTCACAAGTCAGATCACTCAGTGTAACTATGACAAATTATATCAAACCCAAAATTAAGGTGTGCAGATCCTGGGAGTAGATCAATGACATGTTTCAGGGAAACATTGAGTTCATAAATCTTCCAGTCGTTGTTTTGCTTTGTTTTTTGTTATCACAATTTATTTATCCTTTTACTTTACTATGTGAATCACGAGACAATACAATGATGTGAAAATAAAGTTTTTTTTGAAGAAAAATATGCTCGTGCTTTATCTTTTTTAATTAGTTGCTCGTGCTTGTCTCTTTTAATTAAACATCATGCAACATACCCAGGCTATCTTTGGGTTTATCTTCACTAACTCTGACATAAGAGATCATGCTTAACGGACACATGAAGCTGGTTATCAACCTGATAAGTAAACCAATAGGTTCCAAGAACACATTCACATAAAAGGGGTGGAGTTAGATTCATATAACCATAATAATCATCACAGAGTCTGCTGTCAGCCCATCGTCATATCTAACCAACAATATTCACATATGAGGAAGATTACACACAGACTAAAGTTACTCAGCTGCAGCAACAAAGAGAAATCGATTAGTATAAATGTGCAAACTTTGACTTATTATATCGTTAGTTCACCTTAGATCATAATAAATCCTGTTTTCCCCTTAAATGAATGTGTTGCTCTGACATAACAGTATAACAGTTTAACTTGTACCTGTTAGTAAAGCTCAACAGGTGAATGGTTGCCAAACTTGTCACTCCTGAAACCACATCACTCAAAGCCTGTCAGTGCAGTTTACAGGACACAGGACTCAGGAGAGCAACAGATACTGTGGTTACAATGCAAGACAAAAGGTGTGACGCCCTGCCTTCTGTCTGCAGGTTTCTTTTTTCTTTGGCTTCCTGGCTGGGCAGACAGTAGGCGGAGTCAGGAAGGCCATTACACCTGAGTCCATCAGGACTCACCTTATTTAAGTGGCTTCCACTCTAACTTGTGTCTCTCCTTTTTTGTTTGCACTTCCCAACACTAAACTCATCCATACATTGCTTTCTTCACTAATTTGACAGATTTACATAATTGTGATTTTTTTATGATTTTTCATGTGTGATACCCTTCTTTGTCACTTACTTTGAGCAAAGTATGTGACAAAGGCTAAACACAAACTTTAAAATGATATTCATTCAACATCTGCATGTAAGAACAATTATGTTGTTTTCATCAAATAAAACTTGCTAATTTGTTAGATTTCTGCAAAAAGAGGGGAAAAAAAAGGGTCAAAATATTGAGCATAAAGTAACAACAAAAACCTTGACCGACACAATCTATAATGACATGAAACAAAAAGATGTCGTGACAATATCCACTAGGTATATAAAGTAAATACATTGTCAGTTTAAAATCAAATTTTTTACTGTAATATTTGCAAAGAAGGACATAAAATGTGACTTGTTGTTAGGTAAAAACTCCAAAGTTCAGACTCAAGGACTCAAGAAACCAGCCTGATGAAAGGCAGAAAATCACATTTTTTTGGTTTTAAGGTCAGCTCACTAAATGATCAGCAAAAACAAATATACATTCTTCTCTGGTATTTAGTCAGGATACAAACAAGCTGATAAGATTTTAAAAATCATACAGTCATATTTGAAGGTGTATCTTCTTAAATCTTATTTTTCGATGCTTTGAGAACCATAAACCAAATATTGCTGGGGTTAGTAATGTAAGAAAAACTTCTCAAATCAATGACAGCCTTCTTTTCTCTCTGCCTGCGCACCAACCACAATAAACATTCCCCATGATTCTACCTCATGTCTGCACAGACAACACTAACAAAGACGCACACCTTCCACTGAACTACATGCACACACACCTATCCATAAATATCCATCACTACACCACCCTCTCATTCTTCTTTTATTTCATGAATCCCTCAGGCACATTCTGGTGTACACTCTGTTATTGAGAGCCATGCTTCTCACACACATGAAATACACACATGTACAATCAGTGTACAATCAGGACCTGTGGGCATAGGTGGAGAGATGTCAGAGTGGGGCTGCTACACATGGAGCACACCAGCTGTTGTGGGTTGCTAAAGGGCACATCAGCAGTACTTGGGAATTGACCTGGCACCTCCAGCTACCAGAACGACTTTGATATTTTGTTCCGCAGCAGGACTCGAACCGACGACCCTTCAGGGTACCAACCCAAGTCTTTTGTTTTATTATGTTTTTCTCAATTTGTTTGATCCTGCACATATATCTTTAGCCTCTCTATGTCACTTGTAACGGTTTCACCTTTTTTTCACAATAATTAAAGGAAAAAGGAAAACACCAGATCCATGAAGACTTGAGCAAGAACAACCAAAACTATCTTCAGAGAAAAAAAAATGGTGTGCGGTTATGTGGCCTTTAGCTTGCCTCAAAGAAATACTTTCTGTTTTATTATGTTTTTCTCAATTTGTTTGATCCTGCACATGTATCTTTAGCCTCTCTATGTCACTTGTAACGGTTTCACCTTTTTTTCACAATAATTAAAGGAAAAAGGAAAAACACCAGATCCATGAAGACTTGAGCAAGAACAACCAAAACTATCTTCAGAGAAAAAAAATGGTGTGCGGTTATGTGGCCTTTAGCCTCAAAGAAATACTTTCTGTATTTAAACACATTGGATTACACGTTGAGAGGTTATGAAACAAACCTTGATAAAGGTGGAACTTAATGGAGTCAGATATTTGATTTAAAATGTTTCCCCCCACAGTTGAGCCCTCTCCTGTTATACCTATAAAACACCCTGAACTATTCATTCACAGTCTAGTCCTTCAGCTTACTTCTCATTCTTCTTCTTTCTTATCTTGTGCACAAATATTTGTAGTTCATATCATTTAGTTTTACTTCCTAAGATGCAAAATAAATCCTACATGATTATATGTTATTCTATCCACTGCTTGAAAGTAAAAGGAGTGTCTGCTCATTGCTCTAATATTTATTTTTTTGTCATGTGACTTTGGGCTGAAGTCTTTTGATAATTATGTGTGTTAACAATACATCACAAAGGTTCAAACACAAATGTAAACACACACAGGAATGAGTCATGTTTTCAAGCATCATTTAAATGTTTTTGTAGGGCTTTAGACTTTACTGATGTCAAACAAATCGCTGTTTGGTTTGCTCTTGAAATAGGGTTCAGCATAAAGGGTTAATCAAATATCAATATCAACATTGTTCTATTCTCTGTGTTTTCCATGAACGATTCAATGCCCTGACGCCAAACATGTAGCCTATAAAAGCAGGAGCTGATTTCACTGCAGATGCTTGTGTAATGTTGGATTACTGAAAGTCTCTTCCACCAACTGTTTTTTCATTCCCATCCTCTTAACTTTGCCGAAAATTTCTGAATCTGCAAAGAAACAAGATGAAAAAGTTCATCTGGATCTGTGCAACATTGACGGCAATGTTTGTTACAGGTAAGAGCAAACAAACAGCAAATTCTTTAGCAGATATATATATATATATATATATATATATTTATATATTTATGAACAGGAACATTTGGTTAAATTCCTTAAAACTTGTATCCTTAATTGTCTTTTGTTTTAGAGATTTCTTTTTGGGCTTTTTGTGTCTTTATTGTAGAGATAGGACAGTGGAAAGAGTCAGAAATAGGGAAAGAGAGAGAGTGGGGGATGACATGCAGGAAAGGAGCCGCAGGTCGGATTTGAACCTATAGGCCGTCCGCTTGGAGTATCCTCTGTCTGTAGGGTGCACGCACTAACCACAAGGCTACTGGCGCACCTTAAATGTTCTTTTAGAGGTTAAACAATCTGACAAACAGTTTAACACTAAATGTTTAAAGTGAATTTTGTTGTGGCTATTTAATGTTTTGTTCTTGTTGACTTTATAAACATGTTTAATGCAAAGAAGGCATTGTGACAGCAAGGTGAAGGGGTGAAATATTCAAATTAGAGTACACTTAAAATATCACTGATGTATAAAGTGTCACTGTTTCCTCCCAGGTGAGTCTCTGATCTGTAACACCTGCAGAATGAACATTGTGGGTAGATGTCTGTTCCATCCACTAAGACCTGCAGTGAGTCTCAGACCAGCTGCTACTCCGGAAGACTGGGTGAGTAACACTTGACAGATCATCTCCTTTACAGGTCATTCTCAGTTCTTCAGAAAATGAATGTGAGGAGTGAGGCTAGATGTTTGTGTGTGGATGTTGTAACAATGTTAACCAGAGGAACAGATTTAATACAACAGACTATTTGATGCTGCTGAAGCTGAATAACCTGACAGTGCAGATTAATGTGCGGGCTTTATAAAATACCTTCCTTATCAAGATCCAATAAATGAATAAATAGCCTACATCAGGGGTGGGCCACATGCGGCCCCCATCAACCCTCAATGTGGCCCTCAGGTCAATTTTTACATATCAATGAATTGGAAACATGAAGAAAATGTGACAAAATCTGCCATGAATTCATGAAAACCAGAAATATGTCCATAATAATATTTGATCACTGGCATATGTTGAGTTAAATTTGAGACATAATTGATTTTTTTTATAATTGATTCATAATTTATTGTTTTTAAGGGCCAAATTTATTGTTACAATTTGGCCCTTTGGCAGGGAGAATTAATTGAATGTGGCCCTTGCCGTGACCAAAGTTGCCCATCCCTGGCCTACATAAACCAATAAGTAGCCTAAATATAAATTCCCCCCCCCCCCAAAAAAAATAACTATGTAAAGATTAATCTACGATTGAGTCATTGACGTTTTTTTTAAAAATGTCTTAAATTTCCAGATTTGTATTCATACAAGTTGACTTGTTGTTATGTAAATGTTAATGCTGTCTTTTTCTCCGCTCTTATCCCCCTTTTTTTCTTTTTTACTCCCAGACAGATTACTCCTCTTCATTTTCCTTAATTTAGTTTCATTAACAAACAAAGGTTATTACAGGAATAATGCAAGTTTTGATTAGCAGTGCATCAGGAGTGAGTTCTGTAAGGCGGGACTTTTCTGTCATTGCAAACTTTTCACATTTTGATTCTCTGCAGCGGATTAAAGTTTTTCAGCTCTTTGGGGCCCCCTGCAGCATGGAGCTGGAGCGTGAACCAATTGCATGCCTTGCCTGTCGATAACATAGACTGTTGATTAGTAGTGGCCTCTGGGCGTCATGGTTACCATACAGACATAAAAGTAGTACCAAATACTTAAGTGTCAAACAGAAGAAAAAGAAAACGACCTAACCTTCAGTGTAAAAGGTCAGACAGTCTCTTTAACAACTCCTGAGCCTTGAACTGTTCACGCTCGGGGTCAAGTTGTCTTCACAGGAATGTCCTGGGTTTATGGGTTGTTGTCATGATGAGAGCTAACAATGAATTTTAGTGTTATAACATGAAAGACCACGTTCAGTCATTAAAGTGTTTGTGTTTGTCAGTTAGTCAGGACAATGTGCTTTAAACACTCTGTCCCTTCTGCCATTGACTTGTTTGTGTGTGAACACAATACATGCCATGCCCAAAGCACTGATCACCTCCATTACTTACATCACACCTTTAATTTAATGTTTGCACTGCCTGTTATTTAATGTCTGTTTTTGATAAATCTGCTTTTTAAACATTGCTGTACATATATAAACAACACAACTTCAGGAGGTCAACACTTTTTATATTTTTATGTTTTATATTCAGGTCTAATTACAGATTTTTTTCTTCAACTGTTTTTAGGTTCTTGTTTAAATGTCACATTTATTTTTATCCCTGCACGGGTTATGTACATTTCTTGTATAAGTCTATTTTTAATTGCACAGTTTAAGTTTGACTCATCTAGGTATTCTTTAAATCTTTTCTCAGGTTAATATATATGTATGGGGGGGGGGGCGTCGGTTTTGTGGTTTAATTTGTAACAGATGTTTCATGTCATGTCTTTGTAACCTGCTGCTGGATGCTTTGAATTTCCCTCTGGATCAATAACGAATCTATCTATCTAATAATACATTTCAGATCAAACATTTCAAACATTTTTTTATATTGTGGCGTCTTAAAACACACACACATACACATTTAATGATATTTAAAAAGCTTTTTGCTGACAGTTGTTGTTTAGTATGAGCTGAATATTTCAACACTGACAATAATGTCAGAATTTGAACAAACTTTGTCAATTTGATACTTAAAGGATTTTCTTTTTGAGTGATATTTTGAATGTAGGACTGTTAGGTGTTTCTACTTTTAGCTTGGTACAGGATCTGAATACATCCTCCACTAATGACTCACCGGGTCACAGACAAAGTTATCTCTGCTTTTTGTTTTCCCTAACCCTAACCCTATAATAAAACGGCTAACCAAAGCTCTTTATCCCCTCGCCCCCCTCCAGCCTTTAACATCAGTAGTCTGCTGAGCTGGGAGACTCAAAGCTGTCTGAACTCAACTCTCTGCAACCAAACTGAAACGGGGACTCTCCTGACCGCTGGCTACACGGTGACCAGGACCTGCTGCATGACTGACTGCTGTAACGGAGCCACATCTGTGCAGCTGCCTGTCACTGCTGCTGTGGGCGCGGCCCTCGTGGCCATCTGGGGCGCCCAAAGTCTTTAAAAAGACAACAAAAGATTAATCACTGGGTGTTGTGTTGGAATGCAACTGTTAAAGAACATGATGAACTGTGTCTTCCTATATAATTAAACTCAGAATGTTGTAGCTTCTCTGCCTTTAAATGTATTTGTTATAGACGATATAAAATGTATAAAAACTCAGTGAAATGATCAAAGAATAAAAAATGAACATGCTAAAACGTAAAAGCTGTTATTTTCCTCCAGGCTGTGAATGTTTGGGTGAAGTGGATTTGCAGTAACTTCTTCTTCCTCTTCAAACTAGAAGCACACAAAACCTGATGAACCTCATTCTTTCACATTGCTTCTTGATTAGGGTCAAGCCTGAAATCTTGTCTCTTTGTCTCTGCTTACTTAGAAGGTTCGCTCGTCTGAGGCAGGTATTTTAAACCTTAAAGGGCATTTCTTTTACAAGAAGAATCCGTTAAAAAAAAACCGTCAAGAAGGATGACTAACTTTTGGAAGGCAGTGATTGTCCTGTGTGCGCTCGTCCCTGCAGGTAATTAAAAAATTACTTCGACAAATTTCAAGGAGGAAATAAGAGAATTAGACGTCAAACACTGAAAACAAGAAACTGTTTCTTTATTTCTATTCTCTATAATTCTTGTTATTGTTGATTTAAAATGTCCTTAATTGTGACCCTGGTAGGTCTGATTTGCATGTCTGTCTGTCATCGAACACTGTAATTGGAGGAGTTGTGAAATCACAAGAAAATGTCTGCTAACTTTCTTCCTGATACAACAAGCTTATTACTCGAGGCAAACAAAATGTTCAGGACTGAGTCGCCTGACAAACAAAGAATAAGATTGCTGGTGGAGATATTAATTGTTGTTTTTGATGAAGTCTCAGGTGGTTTAACTTCACTGCAGCTTAATGACATTGAGTCTAGTACAGGTATATGATCCACTACTATAATTGTTGCACATAGAAAGTGAACTGAAATGAACAATATGTCCAGACTATGACACAATAAAAGACTAAAATAAAGTATTCAGAGTGTAGCTTGTTACCTATTTAAAATGACTTTAAACATGTATATTATAGACGTTAACTTGCCGACAATAAAACAATAAAACAAAGCGTAAACCATGTAAACACAAACAGGAAATATAATTCTACAATTCACTCAGCAGACACTTTTATCCAAAGTGACAAGACAGAGAGCAAGAACAACACAAGCAAGGATCTAGAGAGGAGGAAACAACGTCAACTAGTACAAACCAAAACATTTAATTAATGATTAATGATCAGACACATGATAAGAGGAGAAGTTAACTTTTCTCAGATCTTTTTTTTTCAGGCACACAAATCAAGCCAGTTTGAAAAACTCACATTGCCTCTTGGTTTAAAAACAAATAGAAGATCATTTAGAGGTCGACTTTTTGAGTCACAAAGTGCGTAGCAGTGAAACTACAAGTAAACAGAAAAACATGTTGGAATAATAATCAATCAATCAATCAATCAATCTATCTTTATTTGTATAGCGTCAACTCATAACAAGTGTTATCTCGAGACACTTTATAATAAAGCAGGTAAAAGACATTACTCTTTGTTTATTAATATTACAAAGAGCAGGTAAAAGACCTTACTTATTGCTATATTACAAAGATCCGGCCTATCCATCACGAGCACTTGAGCAAAGCAGCAAAAGTTACAGTGGTAAGAAAAAAACTGCCTTATTAAAAGACAGAAATCTTCAGGCTCATGACCAAACAGCCTTCAGACCAAGGCTGCACCGGGCTAATAAGACTTCCAGAAAATAAGGTTGCAAAATGCAACAACAACAAAAAACTGTCTAAAGCTGAAATTGGAGCATTTTTCCATTTAATGTTCTAACATGTGCTGTCGAATGATGCTCAGACAAATGAAGAGAAAGTCTAAAGCTGCCAGAGAATTCAGTGTGACATTAGGTTAAATAAATGTACTTCAGTTTGATTCATTCTATATAATTTTAGAGGTAGTGAGTTTGGTTTCTTTACCAAACAACAATTTACAATTTAAAATAATAACAATAAAGATGCTTCCTCATATAAATTAAAATAAAATCTGTATTTGACTGTTTAAAGAAAATCCAGCCAGCCTGTGATAAATCAGAGTTACCAACAATAATATAAAACTGATCAGTTTACAACTAACCACAAACCCCCCTCCATGTTCCTGTAATTACACAATACAGGGACTAACTCTCTGCCCCTGCTAAATTTCAATGATATGAAAAGAATTCAATTGCAGCACTTTTCTTTGTCCTTTCATGAATGGGACCCTTTTTTGTTTTTTTACTTTTTTTCACTTAGGATTTTGATTTGAGTTATTTTACACAACTTACCTGCACTTCCTTTGTTTAAATTGTGCACCTTCACCTTCACCTTCACTTTTTAGAATACATTGTCTGTTTTTAATCTAATGTGTGTAATTATGACAAGATCAAAAACTAAATTAAAAAAAGAAACATTTGACCAGAAAACACATTTACTATCTTAAAGTGAGATGAGAAGATCGATACCACTCTTGCGTAAGAATGGAAATAAAACTTTTGATTTATCTTCATCTTTGCTTCTTGACTTATTGAAGATGGAACAAAGAGATTGTTGAGAAACATCCAAACTATGTTGTTGAGTAAGTTACTGTAACTGTCCTTCCAATAAGATGAGTATCTGTTTTCTTTTTCTTTGGAGCAGCACAGAGTCTGCAGTGTCGACAGTGCCGCCTCGGTATATTTGGGTCTTGTTTGTTTGGGAGCGACGTCACATGTAATAATGCCACTGAGAGCTGCCACCGTGGAGAAGCACGTAAGAAAAACACTCAACACTCAACCTTCTGTACGACGGCCAGAAATCGATTTACACATATAGAATGAGTAAGAGATCAAAAGAACTAAAGAAAATCAACACAACACTTTGAATACGTTACTGCATGTACATTTACCTGAAATGAGCGTGATCTAGAAACACAGTTAAGCAGTGAGTACAGTATGTTATTCTTCTTTTCTCTAGTCCCTCAATTAAACAACTTTTATACACGAGGGGAGGAGTCAGCCGGCCGTCCCGGCGATGTAAACAAAGTGAAGATAGGACTCTGAAAACTCTGAAAATATCACAGACAGTGGGACTCGGGTGTTACTCCCATTGTAGACAGTCATGACTCACAGAGTTATTTTCAGAGGATATACTTGATTTCTACATTTAAGTGTGAAAAATCACATATAAAGCCTTAAAGTGTGTAATATGTGTTTGCGGTCATGATTAGTACGGGGTTGTTTATTACACATGATACTGAAGTTGTAATATTTGTTTTTTGAACTGATCTTTGTCTGGTTGGTTTAATGTTTGCATGTTTGCTTTTGATCTTCTGTTGAAATGATGTTTGTGTGAAATGTGCCATGCATGCATAGCAAGTTTCTTACATGCTTTTTTCACCCATGTCCTCCCAGAGTTCAATGCTACAGGGTCACTCACTCTGCAAATCCGCGGCTGTCTGGACTCGGACCTGTGCGGCAAGACGCTGACCGGCAGCATCCTGGGAGCTGGTTACACCACCAGTTTCCAGTGTTGCACAACAGATCTGTGTAACGCAGCCGGTTCTCTCCAGCTCCCTCTGACCGTGGCCCTCTGTGCTGCTATGCTGTCCTCTCTGTGGGGCATATGGGATCTGTAGTTTTACAAGCTTGTCTCGGTTGCTAGAAGTCATATAGACTTTAAAAAAAAAAAAATTGGACTTCAGTAAACAGTGAAACTGTAATTTAAGTTTTTGATTGTTAAGTGAAAACAATAATTGTGCACTTTTTCTTTCAGCTTTTAAATCATCTCTTTTCATTTTCTAAATTCTTCATCAACATTGAGAGACTGTTGTTTGTTTCAACTTTCTTGACTCCATTAAAAGGTGAACACTTTAAGACCATGAAGTAAAAAAAATAAATCTGGAGAGAATTCAAAATGTCTCCACTCTGATTTGTTCCTTTTTCAGTTTTTCTATTTTTTTTTAATTCCCTAATATTTACTTGTTAAATGGAAAGAGCTAGTTTGTCTTTTATAAGGAAGAACAAACCCTTAGATAATTAGCTTTATTAAGTTTGACAAAACGCAAAAAATATTGATCAAATCCCACAAAACAAAGTGTCCTGGTGTTAAACTGAGTGATGGAGGGTCAAGTGGTGTGAAAACAAACATCCACCCTGTCTTTAAGGAAACATTGACTCCATTCAGCCTCCTGAGTGACAAAATAAAAAGAGGTTTATTAGCATTTAATAAGCAGGGCTTGGTTTGTCAGGAGGATCTCTGCTGTGACATGTTGTCAACACTTACCAAACAGAGTCATCAGTGCTCCATTGTTGTCTCCACAAACAACCTGATGATCAGATTGAACCTGTGTCACCACCCCACCTGTGAGACATGAGAGAGACTGAGGACGCCCTCTAGTGTTTCACACGCGTAATAACAGGCTGAATACAAAAATGAAAAAAAGGATCGGCTCTCTGCCAAATAGAGCACACTGATTTATATCAGTGGTTCTCAACTGGTGTAGCATCAGGACCCACCACCAACACCAACAGAAACTGGAACCCAAATCTTAATTTTCTTTTTACTAATTAAATTTATTAAATGAAAATTGTGCAGTATGGACCTCAGATGGTAGAAAACATGAGACAGGTTTATAAAGAACTTTGTAGATTTGTTGACACAATTATTTTTCCATGGGCACACATTTGCGACTGACTAAATATGGCACTGTGACCCACTTTTGGGTCCCGACCCACCAGATGAGAATCACTAAATTAAATGTTCTTAATTAAATAAAAATGTAATATTGCCCTCTGTGTATATAGCCTGGTTTTTAAATGTAGTGTAAAAATATGTCCCTCTATATTTAGCATATTTTTGCCATAATGCTCATAATATCAACAAAAACAAAAAAGATGAGAGGGTGAGACGAGCGTATTGTATGTTACCCCCTTCTCATATATCTTTTTAATTTATAATCTAAGAACTCAACCAGGTCAAATATACGTGTGAAAGATTGTTTTTTGTAATGAAAACAGATGAAAAATAATTTTAAAAAAGACATTTTGGCTTGTTTTAGGCAGCTTGGTCTTCTGCTCTTTGTCTTGTCTGTATTGGTGTGAAAATAAAACCTCCAAAGAATTGAAAAAATGTATTGGGTCTATTTGTATTGTTTTTGTGTTGTAAGTTTAATATATTATTCCAAATAAAGACCCATATGTAAGATGTTTTTAATTGCCATTGTCCCAACATAAAATCGTTCATTGGAATTACATGTGTAACATCTCTCTCTTGTGTTAAACTGACAAATAAATGATCAAACTTTCCCGTGTGAATTCATAAACGATCTCTATTCCAAATGTGTCTCTGTCCACTGTCAGTGTTTAATTCTGACTGACAATCTGCCAGGACTTTCTGATTACTCTTTCCAGATTTTAGGACCAGACTTTATAAAGTAATGAATTTGCAAAGTACAGCTCAATACCCCCCTCTACTGGCAATTTAGTATACAGCAGAACATTCTGTGCTGTTCTGTAAGGAATCATGAAAAAATATTTATCTATTTTGATGACTTTCCAGGAGTGCAACAAAGATGAGGTGAAGCATCACCCAATTCCTCTCATAAGAGTATAAGGAAATGTCTGGAGGTTGAAATACAAGATAGGCATAACTGTTATTTCTGAATTAAACCAACAAAATGTAAAAAAATATATATATGTATAATATCTGATCATTTAAAGGACAGACAATTTAATTCTCACTATAAAAATACTTCCACAATAAAAAATATCCACATCTTTGTCAAAATAATAAGATTAAATTAAAGGAATAGGCTACGAGATAACTTTACATTTTCCGATTACGTTTTTATCTCGTAATTTAACTTTTTAAATCTTATAACCAACATTAGTCCTTTGACATTAGACCTAAACAATGTATTATTTTTTTGTTGTTGCAATAATTTCAAAATAACATCAGTTTTTTTTCCATGTTATATCTCTTATATTAAACTTTCTATAAAATGTTAATGACTTTTTACCTAAATGATAAAAAGATGTGACATCATTATTTAACATTATTTCATCATTCTTATTTTATTTCTTAAAGTAGTGACCTCGTATCTCACTATGTGGTCGTCATATGTGTTGCTTTTATTGCAAAATGTTAACATTCTCTATCATAATCGTGAATTGTTTTCTCACTATTTTGACAACCTGTCTCATAAAAATTACTTTTTTTTACAATAATTTAAACTTTTCATGTCATGGTTCATAACAACTTTATACCTCACATTGTCGACCTTCTAGCACATACTGGTGAGTTTATATATTTATTGAACCATATAGCCTAATTATGACTCCTCAGAGTTTATGCCTATTTATGTTAAGTCGTTATGTTCATCTTTTACTGGAGGATTTGGGCTTCCATACAATAATAACTTCTGCATGGACTTGGCAAAAGTACGATGGAGGATTAGGGCCAAGTTTTTTTTAAATTTTGAGATTAAAGTCGTAAATTTACGAGAATAAAGTCGTACATTTACGAGATTAAAGTCGTAAATTTATGAGAATAAAGTCGTACATTTACGAGATTAAAGTGGTACATTTACAAGAATAAAGTCGTAAATTTAAGAGAATAAAGTCGTACATTTAAGAGAATAAAGTCGTACATTTACGAGATTAAAGTCGTACATTTACGAGAATAAAGTCGTACATTTACAAGATTAAAGTCGTAAATTTAAAGGGTTAAAGTCGTACATTTAGGAGAATAAAGTTGTAAATTTACGAGATTAAAGTCGTACATTTACGAGAATAAAGTCGTACATTTAAGAGAATAAAGTCGTACATTTAAGAGAATAAAGTCGTAAATTTGCGAGAATAAAGTCGTACATTTAAGAGAATAAAGTCGTAAATTTACGAGATTAAAGTCGTACATTTACGAGAATAAAGTCGTACATTTAAGAGAATAAAGTCGTAAATTTAAGAGAATAAAGCTGTACATGTACAAGATTAAAGTCGTAAATTTACGAGATTAAAGTCGTACATTTACGAGAATAAAGTCGTACATTTAAGAGAATAAAGTCGTAAATTTACGAGATTAAAGTCGTACATTTAAGAGAATAAAGTCGTACATTTAAGAGAATAAAGTCGTAAATTTGCAAGAATAAAGTCGTACATTTAAGAGAATAAAGTCGTAAATTTACGAGATTAAAGTCGTACATTTACGAGAATAAAGTCGTACATTTAAGAGAATAAAGTCGTAAATTTAAGAGAATAAAGTTGTGCATTTACAAGATTAAAGTCGTAAATTTACGAGATTAAAGTCGTACATTTACGAGAATAAAGTCGTACATTTACGAGATTAAAGTCGTACATTTAAGAGAATAAAGTCGTACATTTACAAGATTAAAGTCATACATTTACGAGAATAAAGTCGTAAATTTAACGTGGCCCTAATCCTCCGTCGTACAAAAGAGGTTTGTCTTTTAGAAAACCATTATACTTTTAACTCACATCCACACCCTCCCTCCTCCACCCCCCTCACCCTTCATGTCACCCCGGCCTGCATCGACTTCAAAGCCGTACGTCTGAGAGCTCAGCTCGTCACGCAGCACCAGGAAATGGAGGAGCCGTGCGGGTGATGCAGCAGCGGACCTGGGAGGAGAAAACGAGCAACAGGCAGCTTCACAGCGTCAGCTACAACTCTCTCTACTGCGAGGTAAAAGCTCTGCTGACTTTAAAAACTGCCAGTTAAATGAATTATTTGAGCTTTTAAGCCGATAGTGTTTGATCTGTTTGAGGTTTTCATCGCTTGGGTCGCTGCTACAATCTTTAATTTGTCTTTTTGTGTAGCGGAAGATGGGCTTGGCTCCCCGAGTTTCGAAGTCGTTTTCTCGCTTTAGAAATGCAGATTTTTAACTTTTTCTTCAGCTTCACCCTGATTACACCTTTTGTCTGTTCACTTTGATTAGATCTCATCATCAACAGGTGAAGATGAGCGACCCGAATCAGCCCAAAGTTGAACTTTTTGTGAAGGTAAGCCAAGTAATCCATCACACCCATAAAGTGACGCTGTCATGGCGACGCGATGGGACATTACTTTATTACGTGTGTTACATTTGTATCACTTTTAGCAATGTTGTGTCGTAATAACATATCTTGGACTGCTCGTGTTTTGGGACTTAAAGTTTGTTTAAAGTGACTTTTTAGCATTTGTGTTAATAGTATTAATGTCAGTCTGTGTCACTAACCTGCCTCATAAATGACAGTAAGACTAATCTAATTAAATGCACGGACAGGCGTCTTTAATCTATATTTAGTATGTTGGCCAGGCAGACTAATCCCATTTACTTTGAGCCAAACATGCTCTAATATAACCATTATGTCTTTCTGTGCCTCCTTCATGCTCTTAAAGTCTCCATAATGATTCCTCTGTATGAACATGTGCGCCACCCTCCACTCTTTTTTTTTTCTTTTTCACGACTGAAAGATGCAATTGTGACTTTTCTGAATCCTGGTTCCTAGTGAGCCTCTTCAGTGACACTTGAAACTAGTCATTATCAGGACACATAAGTATAGTTTCACATTAGTAACGGAAAGTAAGAAGTGGTCAAGTTTATACTGTGGCCTGCTCATGCCACACACAGATGAAGCCTATAGGCTGACTGAACATGAAGTATGGCTTCCTGCACACACAGGGAACATTTTAAAGCTGTATGATCATTTCCTGAGTTAGCCTGCACTTGAATGCAAGTATGAAAAATGGCTTCCATGGCTGCAGCTAAGTATTGTTGGTAACTATAAGAGTTAGCTGCAGGAAATGTTCTGCATTAATTGATTAAGACCTGTTTAAGGCACATGTGTGTTAAGTCTTTAAATCCCTTGTTTGTCCAAACCAACAGCCCAGAAATAGAGATACTCCTTTAACAAAGAAATACAGAAGCTGCAACTAAGCTTGTTTTTTTAGCTCTCTTTCAAATCTTCTAACTGTTGGCTTATGAAATGTAAGAAAATGTAAAAAAAAAAGAAAAAAAAAAAGTGATGTCTCATTCTTTCCAAAAGTTTTGACGAGTTTGCCCGCTCCATTAGTTGAAGTTTTTGTTTTGGACTGTTAAAAAGACAAACCACGACTTTTATAGATGTTGAGTGTTTCATTAGAAGCTGCGATTTTTAACATTTCAAACATTTTTTTCTATATATTGTGATGGTAAAAACTATTTGACAGATTTCTTCATGATGGAAACAGCTGTAAGGTACAGATGTGTTGTTATGGAATGGTTGCATTTGAGCAGCTATGAACTGATTATTTGAATAGTCGCAGATTCATTTAATGAATATTGACGATCACATCATCTCAGATTTCTATTTTTAAAAATGATCTGTTAAATATTTCTATTTGGAGATGTGCTGCAGACGTGTCGGGTTGACTAAAGCTTCAATTTGATGTCTTGGCTGAGAATGCTTTTTGTTGAACCACTTGTAGTTCATTCATCTTTTACTGTCTTTGTCTGTCAACAAGCTGGTGCTCTGCAAGAGGTTCCTATGAGTCAAAGGGTGATGCTGGGTGTGTAGCGGTAGTGCGTTTTTATGCTGACTTGCCTATTCTTTCAAATGTGCAAACGTCTGTCAGACATTTTGTTCCATTTCATAACCTCACATTCAGCATTTTTCTTTTATTTATTACTAAAAAAGGATTTATTTTACATATTTAAAATCATCGTTGTTAGACTAGCAGTTCAACGCTGCTCGCTGCCTTCAATGCGACATGTTGCAGAGCCTGACTTCATATTTCCTCTCGTCTTAAATAGTGCAAAAGGGAGTTTTTTTTAAACAGGAATGTTCGAGAAAATTAACTTGTACTGTACAGTGAAACAGAGACCATCAAAAACTCAACGGAAAGCTGCAAAATATCAGCAATGTGTATAACATATTCCCCCTTATCTACTTTGTCTCTACATCGCATGTGATGTGAGCAACTAACATGTAAAGAATGAACTCGTGTGTGTGGTGTGTGTGGTGTGTGTGTGTGTGTGTGTGTGTGGTGTGTGTGGTGTGGTGTGGTGTGTGTGTGTGTGTGTGTGTGTGTGTGTGTGTGTGTGTGTGTCCCAGGCGGGCAGCGATGGTCAGAGCATCGGCAACTGTCCGTTCTCCCAGCGTCTCTTCATGGTGCTGTGGCTGAAGGGAGTGACCTTCGACGTGACCACGGTGGATATGAAGAGGTGAGATCATGACACATGTGTGCTGCAGGTTTCTGTTCGCACAAAAGCAGAATAAGAACAAACCTCTGAACTGTGCAGTAAAGGAACATTTCAGTAAAGCCTCTCTGGCAGTGCTGCTAGCTGCAGATATGAGTAATATCCTGTGGTTAGTTGTTGTATTTTCTTTTCAACCCCCTTTTTTTTCTTCCTCCTGCTGTTTAAACCGTCTGCTTCTTCTGCCTGACCCGTTTTGTTTTAAATGTATTTTAATTTCCACCCACCATCAGGAAACCGGACATCTTGAAGGACCTGGCTCCGGGTGCCCAGCCGCCCTTCCTGTTGTACGGCAGCGAGGTGAAAACAGACACCAACAAGATTGAGGAGTTCCTGGAGGAAAACCTCAGCCCTCCAAGGTTGTCTCCACATCTGTTTTACAAACTCATTGTTTTTACTGGTTAAGAGCTGGAACTGATAGTTAAATATACAGAAAGGGAATCATGGACAAATTTGATATAGCCTTTCATTTTTTCCAATTGAAGAGCAGAGCATTTTTTAGATTTAAGTGTCTCAGTTGTGAGATTTTCCTCTGCCTCATGTGATGAAAAGGTTTTTTTTCGGACAGTACAGGTATGCATTCTTTGCTTTGACTTAAAGTCTTTCTATGTGATTTTTCACACTTAAATATAAATCAAGTATCTCCTCTGAAAATAACTCTGTGAGTCATGACTGTCTACAATGGGTGTAACACCCGAGTCCCACTGTCTGTGATGTTTTCAGAGTTTTCAGAGTCCTATCTTCACTTTGTTTACATCGCCGGGACGGCCGGCTGACTCCTCCCCTCGTGTATAAAAGTTGTTTAATTGAGGGACTAGAGAAAAGAAGAATAACATACTGTACTCACTGCTTAACTGTGTTTCTAGATCACGCATTAGCATGCTAACACAACAATGCAGCGCGAGTTGTTTTGGTTTCATGCTGGTGCTCAAGGGCAACATCTACTGGATCAAAAAATCACATATAAAGCCTTTAAACAGATTTTATCAGCTAGTTTTCACTATTCTCTGCTTTTTTTTTTAGATCAGACTTTTAACGGATTAATCATGGAATTTATTGGACGTTTAATCGACACATGTTGTAAACAGCAGCCTTTATGTTTTTGCTTTACTTTTATGTGTTTTTTTGTCACTTTTAAAGTTCTTATTTCATTTGGTGTGTCTGTTTGTTCAGGTATCCCCGTTTGGCCGCTCGTAACCCAGAGTCCAACACGGCAGGCATGGACGTGTTCTCCAAATTCTCCGCTTACGTCAAGAACTCAAACCCTCAAACCCATGAAAGTACGTGGATCTAGTAATTCAAAATCCAGTTTCTTTAATGTTCTGATAAAACCCTTTATTTGAAACTTTTAGTAGTATTTGTCCCTGAAGTACAGCAGAGATCCCCTCTGTGTTTCTCTGAAGGACAAAACACCAGCAGGGATGCTGTGTTAATGACATCATGGCCTGAGATTTTCAGGTCACCTGCTGCTCACTCAGTTTACAGTGATCTGATTGGTAATGTCACTGTTGCTGGGTGAAAACTGTTATTTCTTAAAAAGGCAAAATAACACAAAAAAAACCCGGCAACAGTCTGACTCCAGATTCAGATTTACATTTTCTTTCAGGAGAATTAAACTCTCCGATAAGCTTCGATCACAAACAGTCTTTTGATATTCTCTTTGCGTGCTCAGATCTCGAGAAAGGCCTGCTGAAGGCTCTGAAGAAGCTCGACGACTACCTCGGCTCCCCACTTCCTGACGAGATCGACGAGAATAGCGCTGATGATGTCACTTCCTCGTCCCGCCCCTTCCTGGACGGCCAAGACCTCACTCTGGCTGACTGCAACTTGCTGCCTAAGCTCCACATCATGAAGGTAATCTTCTGTTTCAAGCTGTGCGGCTACAAAAAAAAGATTACAAATCCAGGTTTTTATCGGCCCTGCAGCTGAAGGCTCGTCGTGTCTCTCCCTTTTTTTTTTTCTTTACTCCAGGTGGTGTGTTTAAAGTACCGTAACTTCCAGATCCCTGAGCTTCTGTCGAACCTGTGGAGGTACCTGAACGCAGCGTACGCCAGGGAGGAGTTCTCCTCCACCTGCCCGGTCGACGAGGAGATCCACATGGCCTACTCCTCTGTCGCTAAAGCTCTCAAGTAGGAGGAGAAAGGATGCACGAGCAGAGCAAAAATCCAAAAGCACAAAACGCACGTTAACTCCTCTGCACACAGCGAGCACACACTCTGCCTGCAGCATGGTCCAAACCTTTCATTTATCATGTTCATGTAATGCTTCACATCTGCTCTACTATCATCAATCTATACTTTATTTTATATAGCTCACTTATCAGCTGAATTTTCAAAGACAGTAACAAACTCCTAACTCGTTGATCATGCTGCTTGCAGACTCACACACACACTCACACACACACAGACTCACACACACACTCACACACACACTCACACACACACACACTCACACACACACACACTCACACACACACACACACACTCACACACACACACACTCACACACACACACACACTCACACACACACACACTCACACACACACACACACAGACTCACATACTCACACACACAGACTCACACACTCACACACACAGACTCACACACTCACACACACACACACACACACACTCACACACTCACACACACAGACTCACACACACACTCACACACACACACACAGACTCACACACTCACACACACACACTCACACACTCACACACACACTCACACACTCACACACACACTCACACACACACACACTCACACACACACACACACACAGACTCACACTCACTTACACACACACAGACTCACACACACACACACACAGACTCACACACAGACTCACACAGACTCACACACACACACACACACTCAGACTCACACACACACACACACACACACACACACACTCACACACACACTCAGACTCACACACACTCACACACACACTCAGACTCACACACACTCAGACTCACACTCACACACACACTCACACACACTCACTGTACAGGTTTCACACTTAAACCCGCCTCTCAGATCAAACGTCCACTCGTCACCGTGCAACCCTCACACCTGCCAAATCACCTTCCATTGTCACTCTTGGCATCAAGGAAACAATAACGCACATAAACACCAGCGCCAGCTCACCTGCCAAAGTGTCTTCTGTGGTTTGGATTTTTTTCGCCATAACTTTATTTTTAGATTTAGAACAAAATAAGATTAGATTTTTTTTCTCAAACCAATCTTGTACTTAAGTGTAAAAAAAACGTCTCGTGCTTCATAAGCCTCAGAAAAGGAAGTTAAACTCGCTTAATGGAGGCAGCAAACAGAAACAGGAAACGTATTTCAATAGACCTCTGGGCTTCCCCTTTCTGCACTCTCACTGCAGGCGTGACGGATTATTCAAGATTACACAGCTTGTTGTTGATCCGCTGAAAGGAGCTCTTTTCCAAAAAAATGTAATGCTGTTCTTCCTGCAAAGTATGAAGGATCTTTTTTAGTGTCACACCAGAAGGAATAAATGTTGATAGTGTGTTAGAGCTGCTGTACAGTCACTGGTTTAAGGCTGTTGTTTTCTGCTGAAGTGCTACAAAGACGGCTCACTTAATGCCTCCTAGAGGAGCTCATGGCACGCGGCCAGTTCTGTCACATGGGAATCAAAAATAGGAAGTTTGATACAAACATGCAGTTTTTTTAAACAGGAACAGCTCGTTCAGTTTACGATTGCAGGCCGTTATTTAATATTAGATCGGGCTTATAGGTTTTATAAAAAGGTTTATAAATGTCTCTATTGTCAACAATACCAAAACCATCAACATGTTTCTCTGTCACCCGGTTCTTAATGAAATGTCTTCAATCATTCTGCCTCGCTGTCACATTTTGCTTCAGCAGAATCATTTGAAAACAAAAGGCATTGTTTCCTCTCACTGCAGGATTCTGGTCTGTCACAGTCTGTTTCTTAGGATCTATTCCAGCTGTAGATGGATGATACAGATGTGTGTTTCCAGTGGGTGTTAACAGCAGTAGGTGTGGTTGTGCATTTTGGAGATATTCAAGAAAACTCCTGTGCCATCATGTGCAATCTGACACAAAACTGATGTCAATTTTTAGAGGTTTAGCTTTCCCAAGATTACCAATAAGGCGTCCAATAAAATGAATATTTGCTCTTAAAGCGACAGAGCTTTTCTGTGCAGATAGTTTTGCAAAGAGTCGACTAAATTTGGCCGAGCTGGACAAACAGAATGATGACACCTTTATTTTTAAAAACCATCCTAAGCATTGTGTTTTTGTATTCTGTATTTCATTTGAAAAACACAAGTAGCAACATATCTATGGCAGGCTCGTCTCAGTCTGAAAACATCGGAGACAAACATCATGAGGTTAAGCTCAACACTGTATATTCAGATGTGCTAACACAGGCTCTTCTTCTCAGCAGGGGAAAACATTGCTGGTCTCTTTATGCAATCTGTTGACAATAAGAAACATTTTTAAAATCTAAAGACTTACTCTTCGTTTCATTTTAAAACCCTGAATACTTGCAGGTTGAACCTGTTTCAGTTTGGATTTAAAGATGCTTTTCTGAAAGTCTAGTTGAAGTGATTTGAAGCTGAACCAGAGCACGCCTCCTCTGACTGCAGGAGCAGCTTCTGTAGAGGATTTCATTGACTTCACGGCATGTCCAGATTACTCTCCATCGAGCTTCTTTGCTGTTTGGACTCCATTTGTAAAGTAGCTTCTTGTTCTGAGCTCAGGATAGCCTCGTTGTGTTTGTGTCTTGTCTCTTAGATCTAGATCTTGAAAATTTCACCCAAGTGCGATTAAAACAGATTGAAAATGACAACGTTGTACAAAAATGTTGACAATAACAGACACCCAGCACAGTTGCTTCTTTTTTTTAAACAAGATTTAGGAATGTGATTTAAATCCCTCCGTGATGAACTGCTGCGTTTGACGGTGTACGTGTGGATCTAAAAGATGACACTTGTTCATTTTGCTTGACTGAATTGTTTTTGAAATCTTCAAAGAGACGGACATTTAAAGGGACGGAGTCTGAATAATTTCAGTTTCTGATGTATTCGAGGGAGCATGTTTCACTTTTTACTGTAGGGTTTGATACTTTTTCAGGGACCTTTGAACTTGTTTTCATTATAAAAATGTTTTCATCAGTTTTTTTTCGGTTCATTGTTTTGAATAACAATTTTAAAAACTGTGTTATAAATTCACATTTTGAGACCCGTATTATAATGTTCACACTTTAAATCCCCCCCCCCCCCCCCCCACTAGTGTATTTGAGCCTTTTTAAAAAAACAAATCTTTTTTATACCGTCTGTCATGGAGTCAAACTCAGTTGCACTTCAGGAGTCCACAGCATCCAAACAGCGGTGTGGACACTAATGCAGTAGATTAACATCAACAATGAAGACAATCAAACTAATAGCACAGATGAAATGTATTTTGTACTTTGAAGCTCTTACAAAGACACATGTATTAATATTCTAATAAAAAAATCTTAATAATGAATCAACCAGTGACGGGTGTGTTGTTGTTCATCTTTTTAACGGTTATTAAAGGCACTGACACAAAGATGGTCGAGAAGAAAGTGAACAAAAAGGTGCAAACAACAAATCTGTAGTTTCCACAAACAAAGCTCAGACAGTAACGTCTATAACCTTACTGTCAGGGGTAGTTAATAAAAAAAAACCTGAGAGCTTTATCTCAAATAAATCAGTATTCTAAAGCAACAATGTGGAGGAATTTGATTTGGTGCGTTTTGGCGCCACCCGAAGGTCTATGAGTGCAACTGCACTGTCGTAAAACAGTTCCTCTTAGCTTCATCCATCACCGTTCTCTTCCTCTAAGCCTCAGCAGTGGATTCAAACAGTATCCATATGGGCAAACTGGCGACAGCTGTGAAGACGGCTGTCAAACTTTAAAAGTGCTATCAGCGCGATGAATGGACATGAGAGAGAAGCTGTTCTGCCTGTTGAAAGTTGTTGTACTATAAGATCCACTTTGAAAAAACACGTTTATAAGATGGGAAAGTTACATATTGTTGATTTAAAGTCTTTATATGTGATTTTTCACACTTAAATATAAATGAAGTCTATCCTCTGAAAATAACTCTGTGAGTCATGACTGTCTACAATGGGTGTAACACCCGAGTCCCACTGTCTGTGATGTTTTCAGAGTTTTCAGAGTCCTATCTTCACTTTGTTTACATCGCCGGGACGGCCGGCTGACTCCTCCCCTCGTGTATAAAAGTTGTTTAATTGAGGGACTAGAGAAAAGAAGAATAACATACTGTACTCACTGCTTAACTGTGTTTCTAGATCACGCTCATTTCAGGTAAATTTACATGCAGTGTGAAGATACCAGCATAATAAAGATCGCTAGCATTAGCATGCTAACACAACAATGCACCGCGAGTTGTTTTGGTTTCATGCTGGTGCTCAAGGGCGACATCTGCTGGATCAAAAATAAAAAGCCTTTAAAGTTTCAGATTCTTAATTTAGCATCATTTCAGGAGAACAGCGATTCTAGTGTTTGTTGGGGCCCAAGGCAAAAATTTAGAGAGGCCCTTCCTATGGCGACTTTGACACACACACACACACACACACACACACACACACACACTTGACATAAACTAATGTTAAATGTCAAAGAACAAACATGCCATGATGTAATGCTAGCAAAGTGTCTCTAAGAGTTACATTTTTTTAAAGTCAAAATGTTCCCAAAAACAAATTTACATTTCTCAAAAAAAAACAGCAAATTCTGATCTCCTGATGAAAATTATTTAATATGATGGAAAGCTCCTGAACAGCCACAAAATAGACCCTATAAGGTTGTTAAGTTAGCAGTATATATTTTGATTTCTGCTATATTTATGATATTGGTAATGTCATGTACAACTGTTTTTTTAATGACTTTACACCTCTGTCAAACACATCCTGTTAAGTGGAATAGGGGATACTGTGGATATGAACCATTATATCAGATGAGAAAGGCCTCAAATAATCACTTCACGACAGTGTTATGGTCTGGGCTTCCACCAGGACACTGTCCCAGTTAAATCTTTAAAAAACAACAGCATCCTTTTTTAACACTGTAACATCTTTGATATTTCCTGTGATGTGGGACCCGGCCTCCTCCCCCCTCCCCCCTGTCACCCCCCTCGGGTGTTCAGGCCAGCAGGAGAGAGAGTGCAGGCAGCAGGCAGAGAGCGACTCGCCCCCAGCTGAGGGCAGCAGTGGACTCGGCTGCGTTGCACAGGTCTGTGTCGCAGCACACGTTGGTGTAGTTGAAGTAGAGGCCCGAGGCGTATTTCTGCCCGCTCACACCGCACTGAGAGGGGACCGCACAGCTCTTCTCGTACATCGTCACCTGTAGGGCACCTGCAGAAAAAGGAAAGAAGGGGATTTTCACAATAAAAGCTGGTAAAAATAAATTGGGACAAAGAAAGGCCAAAATGATGTTTAAAATGAAATGAACACCTACAGTCCTGGATATATGACCGCTTTATTAAAGAATAGGAATGATATTGACTTTAACAAATAGTCTGATAAATATATTAGAAATTGTGAGTGTTGCATACTGGTTTGTTTTGAGCCCTGGTGTTGCTAAAGTAACAAATGTCATCTAGTTTGTTTAAAGTTTGTCTTCTTGTAATAAGTCCGCCCTGAAAGTGTTTTTAAGCCTGCTTAGACCACGCTTAAATAAATATTTAACAAGTGGGTGAAAACGGTTCCCAAGGTTTATTAATGCAGCAATACAAAGATGTGGTATCAAACCCCTGTTTGAGAAGCGTAATAAAGAATGTCTCACATTTTGGTTAATATTATTATTAATAATAATAATAATAATAATAATATAATAATAATAATAATAATCTTTATTTATAGAGCTTTTCAAAAACAAGTTACAAAGTGCTTTACAAGGACAGCAAATATAAAAACAGGCAGGTCATAGAAAAATAAACAAGGCAAGATTAAGGAATAAAAATCACTTTAAAATATAAAATCCCTTTTAAAAGAACTGTAAAATACATACAATTCTTTTAAAGGAATTCTAAAAAGTGAAAATAGTAAAAAAAATGTCAACATTGAACTTATCCTTTTTTTAAATGACGGATGATACTATTCAAAGTTTATGTAAAATTATATTGTTTTAAATTGACTTTCTGAGTAATAAAAACATAACTATTTGTTCTAAAACTAAGACTGTAACTGTTTATAAATATGTTGCACATCTTGAAATACAGTTTGAGTCAAAGCAGCATCAAATCTGAGACTGATCTTTTCAAAGTTATGTCGATGTTATAAATGTGACCTCTTATTTCTTCCATACAAAACCCATTAGTTGTGCTCCATTAATCCAATCTTGTGGCTCATTTTGAGGACAGAACATTTGGTTATCTGTGTAATTCTTCAGACTTTACCCACTATTACTGATATCTGGAACAATGAAGAGGATTATGATTAGAGGTTTTATTAGGAAAAACTTTCATTTATACAAAAAAAGCAATAAACTTTGAAATGTTTGATATTCTGTAATTAACCTGTTGTTTGCATCCTTCATACCTACTCTCACTCTTTCCATTCAAGCCTCATTAACTCCTGATTGGTCGTCATTTCCCACTTCCAGACGTGTGCACCTAAAGCTGGGGTCACGATTTCCTGGTCATGTGTTTGAGGTACGAGGAGGAGAGAACTGGAGACACAATGTGAGAAACTACCCGAGTATGTAAGGGTTAATAAAGAGGGGTGAGGAGGATGAGGAGGGGTCAGCATCTGATGAGACCACAGTGACCGTTTGGCCACGCCCATGTTCCTATTTTTAGAGATAATTTGACAGCATCCCAAGCATTAGAGAGCTGACGACCAGCCTGATGAGAAATGTGGAAGTGATCTGATCTACTGAGTCTCTTGTTTGTCTCCGTTTGTTTGAATCAAAGCGGAGGATCGGGCCTGAGAGATGGCTCTCAAAGCTGATGCGTTATTGTTGTGTTATATGTGTACATGTGTTAAAGTGTCCATAGCTGCAACAGACTCTCGGCTAGAACAGACCAGTGAATGTTTGGAGGTCATGTTTTTATATTTTTCTTTGCTGACGATGTTGCTCAATCATTTGTTCTAGATTTCAACATTTTCTGGATTTCTTCAGCAAATAAAACCAGATAGCTCCATAAACCAGCCTCTCGGGAGTAGACACAATAAACAGGGTTAGAAATAAAACATGTGACTATAAGATTTAATTACCATTTAAGGAGAATTAGTCATATTTAAAGATGAGTACTGTAGGAGTTGTAACTGCAAAAACAGCTGTTTGGATGGGATGTAAAAAGTCTTAAACTACAGATGAAGGTCTTCTGTTTAACCTATTAACCACTGTTTCTTTTCATAAAGCAGTTTTCTGGAGTACAGAGGGGAAAAAGTCAGAGCTGTTTTAATAAAGAAATACAAACTGCACATTACTAAACATTTATCAGACGTGTCCTGGAAAATGTTGTGTGCAGTGAAGCTTTGTCTGCCAATTTGTGGCCGAAATGTCCTAGATACTCAGAAAATAATCCCATCTAGAGACACAGAAATATACTTATTCTCCCAAACACACACACACGCACACACACACACACACACACACACACACACACACACACACACACACACACACACACACACACACACACACACAGCAAAACAAAAAGAGAGCGAGAGGAAAGATTTGTGTCTCACCTCGTCTTCCCATGGCGGTACTGGACAGGCAGCGCTGCCCAGCTGGACACTCCTGAGGGAACTTGAAGCAGTCCAGAGGAGAGATGGAGGGGAACACACAGGTGTAACAGTGCAAACACGCTGAGGGAAACCGGGGGGGGGGGGGAATTGTTACCAATTTATTCAGGCTCCACTATATTAACAATTCTGCCATTGGTTGACACAAAAGACAAGAAGTGACTTCCAAACACCACAAAAGAAGATTTACAATAAAAACATAACAAGATTTTTTTCTAAATAGTTAATTCATAAAGTAAACACAGTGAGGAATGAAGAAATATCTTAATCTAAGCGGCCTAATCTGACCTGTGGCTTCTTTCTGGGTCATTTCCCATTCTCTCTCTCTCTCTCTCCTGATTTCTGACTCTATCCACTGTCCTGTCCCAAAAAAAAAAGTCCCAAAATAAACCTTAAAAAAAGTTAAGAAGGGGCGCTGGTGGCACAGTGGTTAGTGCGCGCGCCCCATGTATGGAGGCTGTAGTCTTCCGAGCGGGCGGCCCAGATTCAAATCCTGCCTGTGACTCCCTTCCTGCATGTCATGTCATGTCATTCCCCTCTCTCTCTCTCTCTCTCTCTCTCTCTCTCTCTGATTTCCGACTCTATCCTCTGTCCTGTCTCTACAGTAAAGGCACAAAAGCCCAAAAATAAATCTTAAAAAAAAAGTTAAGAATGTGAAAGACCAAGTTTAAGAAGCTCCCAACAAATTGTTGTAAATAATGAAAAAATGAGGAATAACAACCTGCAGCCCAAAGTGAATCACTTTAAGTCTAAAAATGAAGAAAAGTCTTTTTGTGGATGTGATTTACTAATTGATAACAGATCGTCTTCTCAACTAGACACTAAATACCCTGAGATTAGACATTATATGAAAGCTTGTCATGGCAGACCTTACCACACATTGAACAGTCTTTAAATGTGTGTGTGAGTGTTTTACGTACCTGCCAAAGGTAGACAACACAGGAGCACGATCACTACTTGTGAATGAGACATGATGCTTCCAGTAAAAAGTCCTCGATTGTTTCCAGTTTACAATTAAAAGCAGAAGTTTCCTCTTGGTGCAGACTCCTCAAACCAAACGTGCTGCAGGTTAATCTGAAACGTCCTTCAGCTCATTCATAAATTATATTTATCTTTGAAGGATAACAATGCTCAGCAACCTTTTGGGATTTTTCTTTATGTCCGTCGTGTTCTTGTTTTCTGTGATTTGTTGTGGGACCTGGTTTGAGATACCCCACCTCACTCTGTCAGCATCTCCTCCTCAACACTTTTAATTTAATTTAGAGGGTTAGTAACGATCAGCTGACCGGGTGAAGGAGAGCCTACAGAGATTTTTGTCTCGTATTCAACTTTTTGTCATGATAATTCATCTCTAGACAACAGTGATGATTAATAGTAGAGACCGGGAGGTGCTAAAGTAGAGACAGGAAGAGAGTTTATGTGTGATTTAGAGCTCATTACTATGACCTCTGATCTCAACATAAAGAGGTCAAACTCAGGATCATTTCTAGTTCTCGGATGTTGCAGAAACTGAGGATGTTATTATCGGCATATAGTGGGTTCATGTATGATTTTACAAGTAAAGCAAAATATAAAATAAAGATTCAGACTGATATATCTCGTGAGGCCGTGATTAAGAGACATGAAGTCTTATCTGGGTCTTTCATAGGTTACAAACATGTTCATATACAATCACTTGTAGTATCGCAGTAGTTTTATTTCTAACATGTGTCAGCTATTGTTCTGTATAAATAGTAAAACTTTTATTTTTTACAGCCTTGAATTCTTCTGATATAGCATTTAAATGTATTATTATATCAAATGCTCAGAGTCGTTTTTTTTCTTGTAATTTGGCTTCTAAAACTGTTTTATTTTCTTAATTTGAGAAATTAATAGTCCAATGTAAAGCTGAATTTGTGCTGACAATGTAAAATCAATATATGCTGAACAAACATAGTGATTTAGTTAACCTGGATGGGTGATAGTTCTGTGTTTCTTAAATCCTCAGAAAATTGTTCAGGGTTTGGTTGGCTTTGGAGGAACTCCACTCAGAATGTTGGGATGTTTATACTCCTGAATCTCTGTGTTCAGTGGTGGGCAGTTAAAGAAAACAAACTCTCTTTGAGTAAAATTTGACTTTCTGTGTTTGTGTCTGTTGTGTATGTGTGAGAAAGCAGCTAGAAAGATGCTAACAGGACAGACAGAAAGGCAAACAGCTTCACAGTCAGCGCGGTGTAGACGGAGTCAGCATCAGAGACAGAGACAGAGAAAAGCAGAAGGAGAGGCAGATTCAGCAGAGAGTTGGAGAGTTTAACTGAATTATCCTTCAGGGTGTAATAGGAGACATGAGGGCAGCGTGCAGGACGGTCTGCTGACAGCAGTCTTGTGATGGAGTGAGCAGAGCTGGCTCAGGCTGAATAAGCTGTTCACCATGTTCATTAATTACAAACAGACACACCCGGAGAAAAAAACAAAACATCTTAAAGTTCAGCTGCAATGAGACTAATTTTGTTTAAAACTGTTTTCTTTTATTTGTTTGTTTAATTAATTGAGTAATTCTTAATAATAGTTTGATATGGATGATTATGCTGATAGAGACTTTGGCAAGTCAGAGAAATTGTTCAGCTTTTCTTATTATTTCTGACATGTATGTTTAAAGTCTTTATTTGTGATTGTTCACACTTAAATGTAGAAATCAAATATCTCCTCTGAAAATAACTCTGTGAGTCATGACTGTCTACAATGGCTGTAACACCCGAGTCCCACTGTCTGTGATGTTTTCAGAGTTTTCAGAGTCCTATCTTCACTTTGTTTACATCGCCAGGACGGCCGGCTGACTCCTCCCCTCGTGTATAAAAGTTGTTTAATTGAGGGACTAGAGAAAAGAAGAATAACATACTGTACTCACTGCTTAACTGTGTTTCTAGATCACGCTCATTTCAGGTAAATTTACATGCAGTGTGAAGATACCAGCATAATAAAGATCGCTAGCATTAGCATGCTAACACAACAATGCAGCGCGAGTTGTTTTGGTTCCATGCTGGTGCTCAAGGGCGACATCTGCTGGATCAAAACATCACATATAAAGCCTTTAATGCTAAAACGATAGATTTTGTGTAAAATCCAGACATTATCAAAACTAGCTTCTTTGTTGTACATTTGAATATGTTGCATTAGCATTAGAGTTGATTTAATGTAATGTGTCTCCTGGTCAAGTCAAAGTCAACTTTATTGTCAATTTTTCCGTATACCATGTAGTGAACAAACAGAAAAATCAAAAGATCGTATCTTTCCAAACCACGGTGCAAACTAAAACAGAATTCATTTATTTAAATAAAAGATAGCAAATAAAAATATTAATGCAGATATAGAAAAATATTAAGATAATGTTTAAAAAGGTGCATCAAAAGAAAAACAACCACAACAAATGTGCATGGACTGTGTATAAATGTATATAAATCACTAACATATTATTACACATACAGTGATTCCTTTGAATTTAACTGTATTACTGATGTAAATTCAAGTTATTGTTTCTCACTATTGCACCTTTGAATATGTTAATAAATGTGTTTTGGAAATACTAGTTCTAAACACAGATAGGTGATCAGTTTCTTTTTAAGGGAAAACCTTCTTCAGTGTTTAGCCTTTATGAGTTTATAATACTGTTAATATGATATAATACGTGGACACTAAGGTCGGGTGTGGGGGAGTTCATGAGACTGCTTAATCGCAGACAGAGGGTGGTAAACCTGCTGGATGTTTTGTGTGCTGGCTGCAGGATCTCTGTGGACAGATGGTGTTCTTTAATCCTGTCTGTGCCCTCTACTCCCCCCCCCTCCTCCATCACTCCACTGTAATATCAGTCTCACACATAATGTCTGTTTTTCTTCCTATGTGCACAGCAATACAAACAGAGAGTTTGTCTGTTTTCATGCCTCTTTAAACGTCTAAATGAACACGCTGGGCTGCAGTAACTTAATCCAGTCAGTAGACGGGAACATTGTGCTGCTTCACGGGTCCAACTGTTGCTTGTGTACACAGTCACAGGTTTTATTTATGCATGTTTATGTCGCTGCTGCAAAACCTTCATTATCAGCCGTGCTTCAGCGTAAACACGTCTTCTGCTTCAAAGTTAAGACCTGCTGACGAGGGAACCTGTTTATGTAACAATCACAACAATGTCAAAAACACAACATGGTTTGACCCACATTTCAGGAAAAGCCAGATTATTTATTTTGTCGCGCCTCACAGCCAAAAACAGACAACAGCAGCGATGGCTCTGTAATAGGCCCACAGCGTTTAAGCCTTTATCTGTAATGATACTAAAACAGATTGAGAGCTAAGGAGACGAGCTTAAAAGATATCCTGGTGAAATAAATCAACTGTGAACCTAATTGATTCACAGCAGACAGTCCAGGTTTACGCTTCAGAGGCGGGACATCTGATACACTTTCTGACCTTTTATAAACAATTCATCAGGATAAGAGGAGGGGAATATTGAGCCCTTAATCCAAACCTCATGGAAATACTTAAATCCATCATTAAATCAGTGTCTCAGTACAAGGACAGGAGTTTGGTAAAAACAGTCGACTCTCATTCAAACAAACTTGATTCATCGTGTCCTGGTCATTAGGTGGTCAACATACTGGTTATATATCTATACGACCTCACAGCAGCAGTAACCATCACTGTAAAGATCAAGCTAAAAACTCAGATAATGTTTACTTGTCATGGAAAACAGACCTAATGTTGCAGGTAATACGGTCACAAACAGGATTGTTTGATACTTAATGAACAATCTTTCTGTTTTTAAGAATCACATGAATTCAAGTTAGTCTTGTTAAGGATAAAATCGAGGTTTTTAATGTCTAGTTATCTTAATAAACTACAGATTAGCTACTCTTTACATAAAACTAAAGGTCTAATACTGTAGATGGAAACATAAACTAATATCTCTATGAAGTTATGCCTTATAGCTTCTTGTTTACTTCTATGAATGGCCGTGTCCAGATGGGTGGATCTACCCCGGTACCTCAAAAATACTAAAAATAATATTTACTTTTTACTCGTCAGAAGGAGGATTCGTGTCAAAATCAGCTTTGGGGCTTTGTTACAACAGGTTTCCGGTAGCTTTTTTTTTTATTTCAATGGACATATCCATGTGTTTGTAGTTTAAATTGTAAAAATAAATAAATACTTAACACATATTTCATAAGACAGGAGTGAAGTAGAGGAATAACTCAGATTTAATTGCAACCAAACTCCAGCATGTCCAAAAATACTTCTATCAGCCACAAAACATTACCTATAACATTTATTTTTTGCAAGTTGCACAGCATGTAGGAGTTTAATTTGCAATTCTTTCAGTAATTCAAAGTGTGACCTTGGACAAATCTGACTTTTGAATCCTAAAAGAAGTAAGATTTACATTAAGTCACTACTCTGTTGTGTTAATTTTGGGCCCCCGGTTGGGCCCCCTCTAGTCACAAAAGTTTGGACACGCCCCTGCTTTTATGCCAAGATAGAAGTTGATTTGATAAACACATTCTGTTAAGATTTGATAAAGGCCTACATTTAAAAATCAGCTTTGATAACTTTTCTAACTTACCATGAAGCTAAAGCTAGGATGGGCTAGCATTTAATCTAGTTTAGTCCAAAGAGGATGCCAGTTTAATGTATTGTAAGTCAAATATATTTGTTAATAAATACCAAATAACCTACTCATAGATACTATACCCTGAATAAACAAAAATCAAAGTTAGTGCATTTCCTGTTGCTACTTTAAATCTAGGTGCACCCATCATTGTTTAAGGTAGGTTAGATATGTAAAGTAAACATTTAGCCAGGACAGGACGTGTGGGGGATGGGGGGTGCAGGGATGAAAGGGTGGGAGAGCTCATGATAAATCCACAAAGAGGACCGGATGCTGGCGACATGGCTTCAGAAAATAAGAGGAAAACTCCCCTACATTTCGTCTCCTCTAAAACCTT